TCGGAGGGAAGGGGTGAGGAGAAGAGGGGGCCTGGTGGGGGGGGAAGGTATGCGGAGAAGCGGGGTCTTGGGAGGAAGGGGTTTGGAGAAAACGGCTCCAAAACAGCCCGGACTGAGAGTCTGCAGGGAAGGTGCTGGAAGGTCTTCGGTCAGAAGGAGACAGAAACGGAAGGGAACCCGGCAAGCTCGAGAATTTCCAGATGCTGTGTGGACACACACACAGCTCATCCTCTTCTGTGAAAATGCCAGCCAAATCAGAGACACACAGCAGCCGATGCGGGCGAAGGGGGACTGGGTCCAGGCGGCTCCCCCATTTACCGGGCCAGGGGGAAGTCACCGGGACACCGCTGCCCTTTACAAACCTGTGATCTTAATGTGTCCCTCTTCGTCCAGCAGGATGCTGAAAGAGAGAGGAGAAAGCATGCCTCACGAGCGGCCCAGCCGGGCTGGCGGGCGCGACTTTGGGTGGCAGTCAGCACACGGGCTCGCCTGCGATGCACCGACGTGGGCTTGCACGGTACGGCCTCCCCCGCCAGCAGCTTCTGCCGGGGCACGAGCGGACTCAGATCCACGGTGTTTGGGGTTAACCCGGCAAAAGCTGGGACCTGCAGGTCTGAGACCTTCTTAAGCCCACGGGAAGGGTCGGGAACCCTTCAGACTGTCCTGTGCGGGGAATGTGATTTTCAGGGTCCGGGATCGCCTTGGCCTGTGCAGATCCGGAGCCTCGTGCATTTTTTCTCTGGGTCAGAGGCCCCCTACTTCTTCCCATCGCCCCTCCGTGAGCCCCACCCTGGCTCTCGTGACCACCCCAGGCTCTGGGGAGCCTGTGACACCTTGGGCCCTGGCACCGAGGAGCCCTGGGGCTCGGCAGGCTTCGCCTTGCCATAGGAGCTGGGTCCAAGCTCTTGTCACAGCGGCATCTGACATCTAGAAGCCCTGGGGTGGGGGAGGGGCACTGGCCTTTCCGCGCCCGGCTCTCCCGTGGGAGGGCACTGCTCACCGGCCGGCAGAGGGGGAGTCTGGAAGGGCGGACGCAGGCCCGCAGGCACTTGAGGAGGCCCTTCTTCCGGCTATCAGCTCTCAGGGTCCCCGGGGCTCCTAGCTTTCCATTCTTTCTTTTGCTGTCATTAGATCCTGTTGCATCAGCTCTGGGTGGCAGGGGTACCAGCCCAGACTTAAAGAGACCAGGAACGGGAATGGACAGAAGCCACACCGTCCCACTCTAGCACGCGGATGGACCAGAGTGTGGTGAGCCAGGCACAACGCAGGAAACGCCATGCATTCCACTTACACGGGGGTCGGGGCTGGGGGAGCCTAGAGCAGCCAGATTCACAGGCAGAAAGCAGCAGTGGGGGTGCCAGGGGCAGGAGGGTGGTGAGGGGAGTGAGTGTCTCACGGGGACAGATACTCGGTTTTGCAAGAAGGGAGTTTGGAAGGTGGGTTATGCCACGCAGCCGTGTGAGTGTGCTTTGCGTCACAGGGCTGCACGCTTAAAAACGGTTAAGATGTCGGGGCGCCCGGGGGCTCGGTCAGTTAAGCTTCCGACTTCAACTCAGGTCCCGATCTCACGGCTCGTGAGTTCGAGCCCCGCGTCGGGCTCTGTGCGGGCGGCTCGGAGCCTGGAGCTGCTTTGGGCTCTGTGTCTCCCTCTCTGCCCCTGCCCCGCTCATGCTCTGTACCTCTCTCGCTCTCAAAAAGAAACGGTAAAAAAATTTAAAAGTGAATTTAATTAGTGAAGATGCTAATTTTATATTGTTTTTCTTACCACGATTAAAAACTATGCCCTGAGATTAAAAAAAAGGCCGACTGTTTTAACGGAATCTGAAGGGGAATGGTGCGGCACATAATTAAGAAGACAATTTATCAGGAAAGAAGCGAGTATTTTCATCTCTGCCTTTCAGTTGTGCTTCATCTCTGCCCAGAAAGGAGCAACTTTCAAGATTCATCTCCTACTAATTCCAATTGATGACAAGATCTTTCTTCCACTCTGCTATTAAATATTACTATTTTTAACTGTAACGATCCCTTTGCCCTTTAAAAGAGAGAGAGAACCGGGGTGCACGCCTAACGGGCGCCCAGGGCTCGTACCTTTGAGATCCACTCCTGCTACTGCTCCCTAAGGGAGACGGCTGTAGTTCACAGGACACTGTCCCCTCTGTGGGGACACGGAAGACAGGGCCTTTTGTGATTACGGAACCATTTATTTACGTGTGCAGCTGGTGCTGTTCTACTGTGGCTACCTGCTCTAGGTGCTTAAGTCAAAGCCATACACGACCTGAACTTCCCACCGGTGTTGGGCAAATGAACTCTGCATCGTGTGCGGGCACAACGTCACCCGGGCGTGTCCCATAAATGACCGCCACATCTGGTAAAAATGGCTTCGGAGAAGAGCTGTCTTTTCTTAGCTCGCTGTGGATCAGAGTAAAGGCTCTGGAGGAAGGGTGGGACCCCCAGCGTAAGTCGCACCCGTTGGGACACCTTCCCGGGGGCGGACAGGTGGAACCCGCGTGGGAGGCGTCCGCGAGAGGGTGGCCCAAGCCCTCTCTCCGGGGTGCACCCACCAGAGGGCGACGGCCACCGGCGGGGACAGCAAGAAAGGGGGTGCGGAGGGGCGTCCTTCACACGCTCGCTTACTTCTCGGGCTTCAGGTCCCTGTAGATGATCCCCAGGCCGTGCAGGTGGTCTAACGCCAAGGCCAGCTCAGCCAGGTAGAACTTGACATCCTCCTCAGTGAACATCACCTAGTGAGAAAGTAGGAAAGAGCAGGATTGTTCGGCGCATCCTGTGGCCGGAGTGTTCTGACGGACCCGGCCCTGCGGAGCGCACGCTCAGTTACCTCCGCTCCAGAGGGGATCACAGCTCCCCCCACCGTGCTCTTCGGGCTCTTACGACGGAAAAGTGAGTTCTCTTCATACTTGTGAGGTCAGCGAAGGCAGAAGAGCACTTCCCCGCGAACTTAGCCTGTGAGCGGGGAGCCTGGTTTCCTCCTCCTCCTCGCCCCCGCAGCTCACATGGCTCTGGGGGGTGTTTCTGGGTGTATATTTTGATGTGAGTGGTTCTGCTATGAAACGGCACAGGCGAAGCCGGATGAGGGGCTGCTGAGAACGCACCTCGGGTCTCATCCCCCCCCCCCCCCCCCCCCCCGCCCCGGGGTTTACGCAAACCCACTGTCTGCCCAAAGTGAGGCGAGTTCTGCCAAAGGCGACACGCACGTGGGGGAGAGTCGTGGGGGCACCCCGATGCGGGCTAGCCGAGGCATACGCCAGGCCGGGTGCCCGGCAGACTTCAAAGCCATTATCTTGGTGACAGTTCCGTACCTCCGGTCCCGTTAAGGACCAGCGGGCGGCTTTTAAAGTCACCTTACTAGAAAGCCAGATTGTTATCACAAACCACTTTTTTATGTTCACCGTGAGAAACCAATGTCACAGAGACCGCCAGGGCGTATTATTGCTGAATTCCTTCTCTGGATGCAGACAAGGCTCCCTGGTGAGCACAGAATTAGAATAAGGGCAGTTCAGGGAACTGGGTGGTGGATACTTCAGGCTGCCACAGGTGCAGGGCATCCATCTCACAGAAGGGACACTTCCCCACGGGGTCGGGACACACATCCCATCGTCCCAGGCAGTGACGTCTGGGGCCGTCAATCCTCATTGGCCTTCTGGCCGTTGGAACCACCCGTCGTCGCTCCACGCTCAACGGCTGCCTCTTCCGGCTGGGTGTTTCTTTTCTAAACTGGCTACCATATTCCGCGGGCTCACTTTTAGTCAAGTTCTGCCATAGCCATTGGATTCTCTTTAATCTGACTTCTTCTCTCTCTACAACCGTCACGGGTTGTCTGCGTTCTGTGCTCAGAGCACAGCCGTATTTCTCTACCTGTCCAGTTCCTAGGACACATCTCAGCATAGCCCCCAAGTACAAATGACAAGTCGTTTCTGCACAGAAATGAAACACCCCACGGACGCCCGTCCTTGAAGGAAGTCAGTGCAGTGACCAACACGGCAGGACACTGCCCACTGGCCTCGTTCAAAGACGGGACAGAAAAAAGGCACTTTCCCGTATTGTTTCTGAGAACCTGCCGTGCCCACACTTGGAAATTTTGCCTCGATTCTGAAATAAAGGGGTGTCACGGAAGACACACGCTCCCCTAGTGAGGCCATATGGGGCTTTTTGCTGATTATTGTTGCCTTTTGATCAAGAAGCCATCTTCGGAAACACGTGAGCACAAGAGGGACCAGACACCCGCTCCGGGAGGCGCTCTGCAGAGCCCGGATCGGATTCCTCCAGCCCCGGGCCTTCTACGTCTATCGCAAGGAGCCCAATGTATCACTTGTGCATGGTCTGGGGGACCCTTGATGACGGAGGGAGACAGCAGTGCAGGGGGCTCTGGGACCCCCCAGTCCTGCTCTACCGTCTACTGTCCGCGTTGGACGGCCAGGCAGGATGGAAGGGTCTCCTGGTAAAGGAGGGGGAGAAGAGGGGGGCGGGCACTCTGAGCCCACGGTTACAGCCGGGTGAACACCTGCGCTGGGTGAGAGGGCTCGGGAGGTCGGAAGCCCGGTGCTCCCGCCTCCTTCAGCAGAAGGCTGGCTTCCCCCCCGCCACGAAGCACGGAGCTCTTCACGTCAATTAGGGGCCGGGGGGCTCTCGTGTCGCGCGGGGTGGCGTTCTGGACAACTCCCGTGTCGGGACTGTGAGGTCCAGGCTACGCCTTGGGGCCGGGAAGGGGCTGGTGGTCGTGGCGACCCCGTGTGGGCAGATCTGGCACCTCCAGGGTGGGTGGGCAGCGAGGGAGTCGCGTCTCCCTACGACGCAGAGTGAGACCCCGTGAAACAGTCCCTCCTGCCTGTTCCTACGACCCCTTGTTTGCGTCCGTTCCTCACGGGGAGGCGGACAGAGCCACGGACGGACCGACGGACATGCGCAGCCTCGCGGGGCTCCTCGGGGCTGTGCTCTCACGGCCCCTGAAGGACGACAGATGCCGCACGGCACCCCTTGGGCCACCTGTTTAGCATACACAGACACACACACGCGTGTGTGCACACACACACACACGACCCCACAGCGAACACGCGCGCGCATGTTGACACTCCCACACGCTCTCCCCCCCACACATACACACTCACACACTCATACCACACAGTCACGCACACACACTGTCACACGCAGCACGCACCCGCCCCTCCCGCGGGCGCCCTCCGCCCTCCCGGCCCCGCACACCTCTTTGGAGAGCCGGCTGAAGAGGTCCCCTCCTCGCAGGAAGTCCAGTATCAGGTACAGCTTCCCCTCCGTCTGAAAGGCTGTGGGAGGAGGGAGGGTCGGCATCCCGGGCCACACACGGAACATGCCGGAGCCTTCCAGAAGCAGGGCTGGGGTCGGGCGGGGGTCGGGGCAGAGTCTGGGGGAAGGGCCGCAGGAACGAATCTGTCTGTGTCCCTCACTTTCAGGAAGAGCCTGGAGGGTCACCTCTCTGGTCTTTTCTCCTCTCCTTCACTCCCTGCTTCCTTTTTGATCCCAGAGGGGCTGGAACCGGCCTGGAGCCAGTGTCTACAGGCCCAGCCCGCTCCCCCGACCCCCACTGCCAATGCTGGGCTCCGGGCTCACGTGGTTGCAGGAGCAAGCCTCCTCCCCTCCCCGGCTGCACCCTGCATAGCTGCAGGTCAAGGAAGTCTGTCCTCTGCTCCCTTCCTTCGCGGAGGTGTCGGTGACCCGCCGGCTCGGCCGCTGTGCGTCACGGCAATGGGGCTCACGTCCGGGGTTTGCTCACCGTGAACTATAATTTCAGGTCTTGCCCACCGGTCAGCCAGCGTGCCTCGCTCCAGAGGGGGCTGGACGTGCATGTGGGGGTCAAGGGAAACCAATCACCGCTGACCACTGACGGCCAGTTCAACGTTACTGACGACCTACCACCTGGCATCTGTGTTATGTACACAGGAGGTAAGGCTGCGGGGGTCCCGATATCCCTGAGCACTCGAAAGCCTTTTATTTTCTAGAAGTAAACGCCAGAGGCACTACAAGTGCCAGGGCTGGAGAGACAGACCTCCTCTAACTAAAGACTCGTCCGAACTGTATAAATCGGAGGCTGGGTTGGATCCTCTCTCCTAGGGCTTGACGGGCAGCAGGAGAGCAAATGTCATTTGATCAACCACAGAGCTGACACGGAAGGTGCGATTAAAATCCCGGTAAGACGCCCGTTGCTTCTTCAGAGAAACGCCCTGGAAACCGGCTGAAACGGCTGCGTGTCAGGGGCAGGGCCAGCCTCCCGCGGGCCCCTGTGGATAGAGGTAGGGGCACCTGCCGGCCAGCCCAGGTGACACGGTGTGACAGACCTAGGGGTACCTGCCGGCCCAAGTGACACGGTGGGACAGAGCTAGGGGCACCTGCCAGCCCAGGTGCAGGACAGACCCAGGGGCACCCACCCAATGGCCCAGGTGATGTTGCGGGACAGACCTAGGGGCACCTGCCAGCCCAGGTGACGCTGTGGGACAGACCCAGGGGCACCTGCTGGCCAGCCGGCCCAGGTGATGCTGCGGGACAGACCCAGGGGCACCTGCCTGCCAGCCAGAGAAGTCTCACTCACCACCGGCTTCCAGCAAGTTCACATCCATATTCACTTGTACTAGCTCTGAAAAGATGGGCCACACACTTTCTACACAAGACTGAAGTGTTTTCTTAGCAATATCGGAAGTTAACAGCGAGGAGGAGCTAGAAGTCTCTGCCCTCCTCCCATCTTTGGACTCGGCTTATGCCTTTGCTTCCTTCTGATTTGTGTAAACGTCTGGGACCACGCCCCACACCCAGCGCCTTCGAAACCGACAAGGTAGGGGTTTCGTTTTGTTTCTTTTTCTCCTGCACCTGACGCATATTAGTTATTCGCTAGGGTCGTAAACGTTAACGCGGTCTGGCATGACTCCAGAGTCGCCCGTTCATTTGTTACTTTTCATTTGAAGACCGCACTTCCTGCTTCCCGAGGGGAGAAACGACCAAAAGCAAACTAGGAGGACTCGGCGTGGCAGAGTAGGCACGTGGCCGCAAACATCAAAATTATTCGATTTGGGTCTCATTTCCCTTCCAGAAAATGGAAACGGTAACCTCCTTGAAAGGAAGTTTTGAGGGTCCCATGAGCTACAATCTTTAAGATGCTTGAAACCTAGCCTTCACTTAAAATACGGAAGGTGATGCCATTCTGGTTAAAGAAATTATTGGGTCATACGGCATTTCATTCTAAAACAACACAAAAATAGATCACAGATTCTCCCCAATCTAGGCCAAAAGACTTTTTTTTTTTTTTACTGTATCAGCGATGATAATTTAGTAACAAAGTCGAGCCCCCCCCCCCCCACTTTTGTCTCCGATTAGAACCGGGCATCCTGCTCCCTCAAAGAGGCAGACCACGGAAGAGATCACGGGACCACAGAGAGGAGGCAGCCCCACGCCACGCAGGCCCTCGACAGGGTGGGGGGGGGGGGGTTTCTCCTTCTGTCCCGGCACGCGGTTTCATTTTCCCTGGATTTGGGGAAGGTGGCGCCAGGGCCTCTCAAAAGTAGGTTATGTTTGACTCTATTTACCATAATGAAGCTTCACAATGAAAGGGTGATTCACTTCTGCCAAAATGTCTCTTTCCATCTTCGATCGGACTCGGTCCCGAACTGCAAAACAGAAAAACAAAGGCTTTCAAGAGACAAGAACGGCGTTCTAGAGAGCACGTTACCTAACACGTTAGCTACAAACCACTTCCCGCGATGTTCTGTTACAGTTCTCAGGCATATACAGAAGTCGGAATACTAGGATAATGGTCACCCTCAACTCGTCTACCTACAGCCAACAACTGCTCGCGTTCTGGCACACTTGCTTTCCTCCTCTCTCTCTTCACACATACACACATTTTAGCCCAAACTCCGACAATAAATCGCCGACCCCGTGACACTTGACCCCTAGGTGCATGTGCACCAGCACGTCCTAGGAGGAAGGACAGTCTCTTACGTTACCCCCGACACGGCCGTGACCTCTAAGAAGACTAACAGTCATGTCCCACTGTCACCTAATATCCAATCCATATTCCACACCCTCCGCCACGTCATTTACAGCTGTTGCTTTTTCCAATCTGGGGTCAAGGTTCACTCATTATATTCGCTTGTTACAATTCTTTATTCTATTTGCTTCTAGAACAGAACGGTCCCACACTTTTTGCCTCGTGTTCGGTGGACATTTCGGTGAGGCCAGGCCAGCCTCTCGTAGCCTCTTCCACATTGTGGGTGTGTCTGATTGTTGCTTAATTGGGGGTTCTAACTCCTTTATTCCTTGCAAACTGAGGTCGGGTCTGGACGCTTTGTAAGATTGAAGCTGAACGTTCCGGGGGGAGATCTCTGCTGGGTGATGCCACGTGTCTCCGATCACAGCGGATGATGTGTGCGCGCTGCATTGCCCTCACTATGTGATGCTAAACTTGACGATGTGATTAAGGGGGCAAGCCATCAGTGCCCCCACACGTCCCTTTGTACATAGTCAGTGAGCTGCAGGGTGATACTTGGTGTGGAGGGCTCTGTGGGCTCCCACGACTCCTTCAGCCGAGAGCGTTAGCATTCGTACGGGATTCTTGCTTGCATCATTTAGGGTCACAAAATGGCGATCTTCCCATTCCTGTTGGAACTGGAAATCAAGAGAAAGACTGCCTCTCTCTGTCCTTGAGGATAATCACACACTAGGGATTCTTAAAAAAATTAGTGCGTTTTAACCAGTTTCAGTATTATTCTTTTCTGGTGCTGACACTGTCCAAAGCGTAGCCATCTGGGAATACAGATGGAATTCGTTTTGAGGCAAAAAGAAGCAAGCCGAAAGAGATCACCACTTGAGAATAAGAGTAACCCCACGATTCCCACGAGCAAACCGATACACCAAGGGCGGTGACCTTGCACCACCCCCTGTGAGCAGAGGGAGGAAACTTCCCCAAACGTTCCTAAGTGTGAGGAGTACAGGTGTTGCGTTACCGGACCAGGCGTTTAATCCTTCCACAATTTGGCCCAGTGACGTGTCCTGTTAAAGGTTTATTTAAGGAGTGCGTCGCCAAGGACGGCCGTAATAAACGACGCCGAACGTGGGCAAGCACTGGCAAGGAGGCTGCAAGGACATGAACCCTGGGCGGAGGCGGGGGGGGGGGAACATACCACGGTGCATTTCAGGTCGTGCTTAAACAAACCGGTGGCGCTCCTCAAAGAGTTAAACACAGACCTGCTCCGCGACCCGGCCGTGCCACCCCTAGGTATAGGTCCCACAGAACTGAAGCCAGGAACTCGGGTCCCAGCGCACCCGCGTGCACAGCGGCATGACTCACAGCGGCCAAAAGGTGGCAGCCCAAGGGTCATGACAAATGCTGGACTGAACGAACAAATCTGACGGGGCGCTTCCTCACGGCTATATAAAAAAAGTAATAAAATGCCGACACACGCGTTAGCACGGACGAACCCCGAGAACGTTATCCTCAGTGAAGCAAGCCAGGCCCCAAAGAACAAATACTCTATGACTCTGTTTCTACGAGGTCCCTTCAGCAGTCAAATTCCTGGAGACAGAAAGGAGCCGGGTGGCAGCTAGGGGTGGGGGAGGGGGAGGGGGACAGAGTCGCTGTTCGGGATGATGACAAAGTTCTGGTACAGACAGTGGTGACAGTTATGTAACACTGTGAATGGGTTTTTTTTTTTTTAAATGTTTATTTATTTATGAGAGACAGAGAGAGAGTGAGAGCGTGGGGAGGGGCAGAGAGGAGACAGAAACCTGAGAGTCCGGCGGGCTCAGGCTCAGGCATTATTTTGACGGGGCCTGAACTCGTTTACGGTGAGATCGTGACCTGAGCTGCCCGGGCGCCCCCTGTGAATGGATTTAATGCCACTTGCAAATGGTTAAATGGTCAGCATGACGTTATGCCCACCTTATCAGAATTACAGAAACAAAAAGTCCTGTGTCACTGCTGGTCCCAGGACAGCCGCCTGCCCTCTGCTCTAACGCTGGCTTCACTCTCCTCCAGGTACTCGGGCTCTCTGGAGTCCACCTCGGCTCTGGGGCCGCGACTGCACGCTCCTTGCCCGCCTGCTGGGGAGCAGTGGCCGCTGAGCATGCGTCCTGGCTCTGTCACCGGGAGGCGGCGCCGCTCTCCACGCACTCTCCTCGCAGGGACGGTAACAGAACCTGCCTCACGGGGCTGTCCCGGGGACAAGGACGTAGCACGCGGGTTCCTGGCCGCACACACCGAGCTGGGCTCATTTGTGGGGTGGGCTGCACACCCCCGGGGCTTCCTCGGCTACTCCTCCTCCGTTCCACTGCTGCTGTTCCCGTCCCAATGCCAGACCCCGGTGACCGCGGTGGCTGCGGGTGACCCAGAAGGGCCGCGCGTTGGCAGAGAGGGCCGCGGGCAGGGCTGCGGGTCTCCCAGTGGCACCTGCACAGCCCAGCCTTCTCTGTGCCCCCACGGCCCCGAGCCCCCAGCATCAAAGCCCTGCTGGGGTCTGGCTCGTCATCGTCTGCACCCCAGTGATGCACAGCGGGTCCTCTTCTGGCTGTACCAGAGGAGCAGGGCCTCTCTGCTGCGAGGCCCCCGGGGAGCGCATCGTCCAGCCCTGGGTTTACGGGAGAGCAGGCGAGGCTCGTTGGAGAGAAGTGGTGCCCGGAGCTGGGCCGGTGGGCACAGATTCCAGCAGAGCAGAGAACACAGACCCTGGGGAGGACAAAGGAGAAACTGAGTCGTGAGCCAGAGCCGTGAGTGCAAACTGCCACCCCGGAGACTCGAGCGGAGCACAGCGCCCCGAGTCGAAACAGTCACTGGGCATTTCTAGTTCATGCGGATTTTTATCGCTGCTCTGGTTTTGTCTCCGGAGCGGAGAGCCTCAAGTTCAAGATTCCCTCTGGCTCTTTGATGGCAGTCATTGCGTGCAAACCTTTCCAGGAGGTCGTGTTGCCGAATTTAGTCTTGTTTTTCCTGTTTATCATTTGTGCGTCACTATGTCGTGACCCAGGCTTTGGTCAGTGTAGCTTCTCTTTTCTCCATAAACAGAAAGCCGGCCACGCGCGGCACGTCTGGTGGAGGGGCTGAGGGCAGAGCCTGGGCCCCTCGTCGGGGGAGCAGATCGTGAGCCCGGGACGGGACCGGTCCTCCCGGCTCCTTGCAAACGGGACAACTGAGTGGTGGGGGCACAGTCCTCCCACCTGACCTCGAATTTCTCTCCGCCGAGCTCCGTCCTCCCGTCCAGTCCCTGTCCTGTTTGTCGGTCTTCTCTGTGCAGCACAAGGAAGGCAGAGCCGTCTCTGCCCCCAGCGAGTTAGAGTCTGGGAGCCGTGCTGTGGGGACGGCAGCGTGGGAGCCCCGGAGGGCCGGCGGGGTCCGGGGGAGCGGGAGGGACACTCCAGGGAGGGTTCCAGATGCTCGATACAAGCCCAGCATCAGCTGCAGGCACGTCGTGAGAATGAGGGTGGGGCCTGGGACCGTCCCTTCTGGTGCCGTTAGAAACCTTCCCAAGCAACCCGCTGTGCGGACCCAAGTGCGCCACTGCAGCCCAGGCCCGGGCTGCCTCCTGGAGGCAGGGGAGGGGGGCCCTTCGTGTCCACAGAGCAGGCCAGGCTTGGTCCCCCAAAATGTGGCCTCTTCTGGGAAAAGTCCCGGTTCCGTCCCCAGTACCCGCAGCCCCCCGCCCCGCGACGAGACCCGGAGAAGCAGAGCAGCCAAGAAACGGGGACACCGTGTCCCCACACCCACCCAGCCACCTCCCTGCAAAGCTCGGTCAAGAGCATCTGAGAATCCGGTAAGTGGGACTGACACGACTATCATCGTGTCAGATGTGCTTGCAGTGAAGGGAGCTGCTGGGCCACACGACGGACGGAGTGCTCGTAACGGCCGTGCTGGTGAAGACAACAGAGAAGATCTTACATGCAAATTTCCAAGGAACTGTTAAGTTACAGCTGGAAAAAAAAATTTATATATATATAAATATATATATATATATTTCCTCCCTGCCTTTCACACAAAAATAAATCCCAGATCTATTAAGAAGTGTCTAAGAAAAAGATCAATCCACAGAAATGATGACAAGGAAAAATGTGCACCCTTGTCCAGGTGGGAATCTGTAACAAAGGCAATGGAGAAGTGACGCAGGACAACCCGCCGTCCCAGACATGGCGAAGTTAAAAGGCCGAGCCAACACGTGGAGGTTGCGTGAGGCAGAGAGAGGGGCCGGGGGCCTCAAGAGACCCAGCACCCCGAGTGAGCGTCACGGCACTCACGTCAGCTGGGGGGACGTGTCCGCAAACGCGTGCTGTGAGAGTGTGAGAGGTGTGGACGGGGCCTTCCCAGGTGGCGGGACACAGGGGACGGCTGTGTTCACGTGGGACACGGCCTTCACGGTGCCGGGGCTGCGTCACCGACTGTTTCCGGGGACTCGTGTGGCCGAGCTAACAAGACGTGGAGGGGCAGCTGGCACACAGGGCCCCTTGGCTGCGAGCCAAGAGGGAGCCGGGGTCCCGAGCGGCCGGGACGGTCTCCAGGTCTGCGGATTCTGCCGAGCGGGGCTCACCGTCCGCCCTCGCCAACGCCTCCCCCTGCCCGGATGGCTCGGGCCGGATCCAGGGATGGCGGGAAAGGCCCGGACCGGCGACTCTGCCACTCGGC